CGTGGGAGAACTGTAAATACTGGCAGAATATTTAACATGCTTTGTCCGTCCTTCATCATTAATGATTTTTTTTTTTTTGTTCGTTTTTTTAACCGTAATCTGTAAAGTCGCGTATATTTGACAAGGAAACTCAACGAGCTATTCCCGCTTTTCTTATGAATACCCAATAGCATATCAGGATTGTAAGAGTTCATGGCAAGTCGGATTTTAGGTTTGCCCGTTCCAGCGGGGGACCCGCCGTGTGGTTGGGAGGGGGGAGAGGGGACCCGGCTGATGTGGGGCCGGATTCGGGTGCCGGCCCCATCGGCACCGCCGGGGGTTTGTCTCTGGCTGGCGCGGCGGGGGTGCCTTGGAGCTTCGCCTGGAGCGTGGGGGGGAGAAGGAGCGTTCGGAGAAGGCGATGGTCCGTGTAACCTGTCTAAGTCCTGCTTCCTTGGAGGTGTTTTTGGTGCAGGGAGGGGGGTTGTTCCGTTGGCTCTGGGGGGAGCGGGAGCTGCCGGCGCCGTGGGTTGGGGGGAGCAAGAACTGCTGCAGTCTCACGTTTTTACACTACATAACGTCTAACCTACCTCAACTCTCAGTCATTACAAATTCGCACGCTTCAGACTTCTACACAAAACTCGAAATCTATGCACAGCTCTTTTACCCCTTGCTGCTGAGAGGCTGTTTCCAAGCAAAATCTTTCCCTTTACCCGCCCTGGCGGCCGCGCTCGTCCCGCCCGCACCGAAGCCACAGGGGTCACGGAGTTCGAGGGGGGAAGGAACGTTTTTAATCGCTTCGGAATGGGATGTGGGGACCTCGCTTTGCAGCAGGTCGTGGCCACAATGGTGCTAGAACAAAACCCGTGGTGGAAACCCCGGGGAGAGCTCGGCACGGGGAGCCCCAACCGGCTTCTTCCATCCCGCTGCAGGCGGGAAATGAGGGGTGCATTTCGGGTCCCCCCGTCCCGATGCTCTCGGGATGAGGCGTGGGAAGGAGAAGGAAACCAGAATCCCTGAGGTGCCTCAATTGCTGATTTTTCCTTTTAATACTGGAGTACGCTTTGTGGGCTCTATAAGGCATATTTTTATTAAATGAAATCTTGTAATACAAACGGTGCTATGGTGTTTTAACAAACTGTATCACGCTTCTGCCTGATTCCATCTCGCTGAGGTGCTACTAATGTATATATGAAACTAAGGAACCAAGATATTAAAAAATAAAGCAATGTCGTTGAGAAGGAAGTTTACCTTTCCGGAGCGACAGCTCAAGGTGTGCCGGGAGCCGGTTGGGTTGATGCAAACCGGAGTTTTGCCATGTCCAAGGTGTCCCGGGGTCGTGGTGGAGCCGTTCCCTGCGGAGCCGGTGTGGTGGTGGGATGAGGTGCTCAGATGTATGTGGGTGTAGGGTTTGGTCAGAGGTGTGATCTCGGTGCTCAGCGGTGCTTGGTCGTGGTGTGTGGACATGGTGCTGAGACGCGGTGTTTGGCCACGCACCGTGGGTGTAGTGCTCGGGCGTGGTGGTCAGTCACACACTGGGGACGTGGTGCTGGGACACAGTGTTTGGTCACACACCGTGGATGTGATGCTCGGGCGTGGTGTGCGGACATGGTGCTCAGACGTGGTGTTTGGCCACACACTGTGGACGTGGTGCTCGGGCACAGTGGTCAGTCACGCATCGGGGGCGTGGCATGTGGACACGGTTCTTGGACATGGTGATCAGTCACACATCGGGGATGTGGTGCTCAGACGTGGTGCGTGGACACAGTGCTTGGATGTGGTGCTTGGCCACGGTGCTCGGACATGGCACGTGGACA